TCTCTCTCAGCCCTAGGAAGAAGAAGGCAAGGGCAAGCCACTTCTGAAAATCTTGCCAAGAAAACTGCAGGGGCTAGTCCAGGCAGTTGCCAAGAGTTACACTGACTCAAAGGCAATAATAACAATAATAATAATAAGGACTGGCAAGAGGAGGCCGGAGGGATTCTCTCAGCTTCATTCCTAGGAAGTCATTATTGTGCCTTGAAATTCCTTAATAATTTTAACATCAGGAACTCAGAAGAAAACTGAACATCCTGACTCGACCAAGGTACGTTTCAACATCTCAAGTATCTGCAATGTTCAGGCCAAGCAGAGGGTCTTTGGGTAGATTTCCAGCCCATTTGCAACAGATTGTCACGGGTTTCTGGCTCTTGGGGTATGAAGTGGATTGGGAGCGGGTTTGTGTGGGAGGGCCAGGAGAGAAACCAGCTGTGGTCTGAGCTGAAGTCCTCAAAAGCATCTTGTTCTGTAATTCCACACCCACATTCAACTGTTGTTATACATCTCTGAGTTCTAGTGAAATCAGGTAAACCCATTGTTTAAGTTTGGCCCATAATTTAGTTGAAAGATGGCAGCTTTACACCTGCTTATGGGCATACTGTTGTGTGTGTTTCCCAGTTTTTCCTAGTGATGGTTCACAATTTTTAAAATATGGAGCAATATGTTGCATGCTGGCAGGAGATCCCTGGCTGTCTTGTCACAGTAATTGTTATTCTCATGTCCCTGTTGAAGAAGTATGTCAGAAACGATCAACTCTTCACGTTCGTTACTTTTTTTGCAAATGTTGCTTGTAATCTGAAATGCAATTATGCACAAGAGAGTGATTTTAGCATAGTCAGTTTTTCTTCTGTTACCATGTAAAGAAAGTTCTGGTCTAAGAATAATGGAGAAGGTAAAATAAAAAATGAACTGACATCAAAGGCATTCTGTAGGGTTCAGTAAACTACTTCCATATGGTAAAGTTAGCTTTATGCTTCCTTTTTTAGTGCAATAACAGTGGATGACTGTAAACTTGATGGACCTTTGTTACAGATTTTGTTCATGAATAATACTGTTTCAAAGTGAGTATCTGTTTCTTGTATTGGCTGAATTCACGTTCGGAATGGATGGCTGTTGTATGCGTTTTAGATTACAACACTGGTGGATCTGGATTCATAAGTTTGCTGGATTCCTGCTTAAGTAGTTTCTTCATTAGTGGCTGCCCCATGTTTGGTAGATTCATGGTTTTTTGTTTTTTAAAAAATGGAAGAGACTTTGCAGTAAGTCTTTGCAGTAAAGGAGAGAAGACATTGTTTTTTAAAAAAATAGTTTCTGTGTGCCCAAGATTTTAAATGTTTGAGAGTTGCTTCTATATGCTAGCAGAGGCCTGCAAAAAAACAATAATTAAAAAATTACCTGTATAGCTTTCTCTGTGGAAATTCAATCTACCAGTTCTTTCGTATGAGAGAGAAGTTTGCAGCACAAAATCCCCAGCATTAATTATGTATAAATGCAATATCAGAGATATCCTTAGTCATGTCCTGTTGGGTTTAAAAAATAAACAGGGCAATTGATCCATTCTATATTCTGATAATCTCTTATATAGGCAATATCATCAAGAAATAGAGGAGTTTATATCTAGTTTAGTTCAAAGATATGAGGAGCAACAGAGAACTGAATCTGACAAGACCTGCTTCAATGTTAAGCCGCAGGTATTTATCTGTTGATGGGCTTATTCTTTTATAAAGTTCTTTTCACCTTTGTTTTTCTTGCTATGCCTTGTGGCCATTCTGGTACCCTAGTCCAAGTAGGCAACTGTGATGAAAGATGAGTTGCATTGCCATCTTAGAAATAATGTGTTTCTGTTCAGTGGGCTGGTCTGTCACAAACCCCTCCCTGGGGTGGGTGGCCTTCTCAGGCAGCTGGTGCTTTTAAAACACAGTGCTGTTTAAGAGAGCCACGCTTTGTGCATCGGGGAGTTCTCCTGAATTGCTGAAATTGAGCCCCATGAAGCTACTTCATAAAATGGGGCTGCTTACGATGATGATGGCCAAATATGGCTGATTGGCCATAAGATGGTTTCTTTGCTTTGGTTTTAGTATGTATTCTATAACTAATTATGGCATATGTGAACCCAGGCAATGTGGCATATTCAGTAAGCCATGGACATAACAAACCATGGCTTAGTGCAGATCATGAATCCAGCCAACAAATACTGGCATCCTGCAGGTGTTCTGAGGGTGACTTCAGCTATAAGGAGCACCGAGAAAGATTGTGCAGAATTAATACACTTCTGTACTTGATTAAAGAGAATTAATTTAGCTTTGTAAACTTTGTTTTTATTTTATTAGCCTTCTAGCTTTGTCCTGGAAGAGGATCATAAAGTGACAGGCTCAAATATGTCCAAAAAAATCAAAGAAGCTTTTAGCGTAAGTTCTTTCTGTTTTGTGTTCTGGGTGGTTGAGTCCCATATTTGAGTTTTTTCTTGTTTATGGCATTAGGAAATAATTGGTAAGTTATAAAATGACCATGTAAATTTCATTGCATTTTATTATTGTCATTAGTCCTATAACTTTTGGAAAGTGGTATTTTTCCTTTAATTGGTTTAACGTATAGATACTGAACTGTAGAATGTAAGATCTTTTGTGAATCCTCATATCCTCAAGCCATTTATTTAATGTACTTAATTATATCAGAACTTATATCTGTGAAATATTTAAGTACATTTTTAATGTTATATTTTAGTCTGATTGAAGTACTGACACTTTTTGACTCTTTCTACAGGTTGTAGGAAGTGTTCTGTATTTTACCAATTTTTGTCTTGATAAACTGGGGCAGCCTATATTAAATGAAAATCCTCAGCTCACAGACGGATGGGAAATACCCAAGTATCCTATTTAGTTAACTGTTGTTCCCTTTTCCTGTTAAACTTTGCTACTTCATGCAATAAGTCTAAAACAGATTGGGTTCCATTTATATATTTTCAGTGTCTTAGTGCCCGAAGTCTGGTATCATTGGTTTGAATAAAACATTTCCACAGGATGGATTTTCTGCTCTGATTTAAAATGCTGTTGCACCTTAATGTTGCATTTCTGGAAAGGCAGGTGACATATAGCAGCGATCAGATAAACCTCTACAAGAGAGAAAAGAAACATCGAACCTAGATAGTGGCAGGCTTTCAGACAGGGTTTTGTCATGATGTAGTTGATAATAATTCTGATCATGCCCTGCTCCCGCAAGGCAGTTTGTGCCAAACGCTTCTGGGTGGTGGCTAGATATTATTCGCACATGCATACGTATACACCAAATGCACTTTGCTTCATACAATGGCAATTCCTTATTGAATTCTTAAGATACCAGCAAGTTTTCACGCAGATTCTTTCTCTAGATGGACAAGAGATACAAGTAAAGCCTAAAAGGTTTGTATTTCTTTAAATCTACAACTGTTTCTAGTTTTAAAAAGTATGTATTGTGATTGGTTAGTAATAGATGTGATTAGGGAATGAAGTAAAAGCACAGTTTACTTTCCTAATGTAAATGTTTCAGTTGGACTTTAAAGGGGTAATGGAGTATGACCGCAATAAAAAAGCGAACAGATATCATTTGTGTCCTCAGATAGCTCCAGAGGTATACGAGCAAAAGTCTGAATGCTAGCCTGCCTCTCTCAAGAAAGTAAAAATCTTGGAAACTTTGGGGCATGTGTACCTATAGGAGGTATTTTTATCTCAATTATAGGTTCTGTCTTCTGGTTCAAAGCTCTGATAAAATGTTTTTCTTTGATTGGCTGGAAATACTTGTTGAAAAAGCATGCTATGAATATTCTTGGCAGCAGTGCAAAAGTGGCTTGATGTTGCCTTCTTACCGTCTCATTGTGCACGTTGGCAGAGATCGCTGGGAGTTGTGGTCCAGCACTAAGAGGGCCGCACAGGTTCCTGATCTCTGCCTTATAGTCTGCTTAGAATTTGATATTGTGCTGGCATCTAATGTCTGATTATTATCATTTATTTATGGAACATGACTTTGAAATCAAAGGGAGTATTTTTGTTTGTGTCATCCATATTTCCGGTATCATTTCATTGCCACATTGGTGTGACTTTTTCCACCTTTAAAGTTGTAATTGTGTAGCAGTTGATTTGCTCAGTCAGGAGTCCTTTTGTGCTTCTGCATCTGACGATGCACCAAGAATATTAGAACAAGTTTTTTAAAAGGTCATTGAGAGAGTGTCAAGTGAAATAGCTCTAAGTGTTGTTGTTTTTTTTTAAATAAAGCAGGCCCAAATCTCACTGTTTCAACTGTGGCTCTGAAGATCACCAGATGAAAGATTGCCCACAGGTAAGTATATATTTCAGCCTGTGCTTTTAATAGCCTCATCAGTGACTACTGCTCTTGGTATTATTCTAACCTTTTTGTTTTTCCCTCCTAACTAAATTTTAGCCGCGAAACGCTGCCCGTATAAGTGAAAAAAGAAAAGAGTTCATGGATGCTTGTGGGGAAGCAGGCAGCCAAAACTTCCAGCAGAGGTATCACGCAGATGAAGTGGAAGAACGGTTCGGAAGATTCAAACCGGGAATAATTAGGTAGTTTTTCTCCCACAGTGGTTCTGTGTTTTCCTAACTAGCAACCGGAATTGCAAGTAATTCTATAAAAATAACTAGCTGCAGTTTACAGTAGAAGTTAAAGTCTGGCTTCCCAAGGCCAACCTAATGATGACTGGTGCTACCAACCCTTTACCTTGGGCTCACCAATACATTAGGAAACTTCTGAGTAAAACCTTTCAAAGCAAGAAGGTAGAGTTTTAAAAAAAATCTACCAATTCAGACTCAAGGAGATACAGCTGTGGGGGATGGTATCCTGCAAATATTTTCAGACTGGACCTACAATTCAGCAGCTTCTTTACCTAACTCTAATGTGCACAAACAACTTTGTGTTTTCTCAGTTGGCAATCCAAAAACAGATTGCCAAAACCGTTGCTCAATTTCATTGTGTTTTTAACTGGACCCTTGCCTCCCACAGTGAGGAACTTCAGGATGCCCTTGGTGTCACCGATAAGACGCTTCCTCCCTTCATCTATCGCATGCGGCAGCTGGGTTACCCCCCAGGCTGGCTCAAAGAGGCAGAAATGGAAAAATCTGGGTTAACTCTCTATGATGGAAAAGGTAAAAGGAGTGAAGGCTCCCAATTGATTTGTACAAATAATCAATATGGTTTGTAGACCATGGACCAGTTTTTTTCAGCCTTGGCAACTTTAAGAATTCAACTCCCAGAATTCCCCAGCCAGCATTCTGGGAGTTGGTCCAACATTGCCAAAGTTGAAAAACACTGCCATAGAGTGCAGCTTAATGCGACATGTTAATCGGACGACTTGAGCTTTTTCAACAAACAAGCCACAGTTTCAACCCATGACTAATTAGTTGGTTAGAGCAGAGATGGGGACCTTGTTTCTTGGGGCTGCTGTTAGGTCATGTTTAATTTATGAAAGACATTCCAGCCTTCAACATCAAAACAGCTAGAAGCAAGAGAACAGTTGGAGAGTGTATTTTGCCAGTAGCATCATCAAGGACCGATGCTGCTTTCTTACAGCGTCACCTGGCAGCGAAACAGAGGAGGAGTACCACCAGCAGCATCCATGCGTCACTTACGATATCTCCAAGTTGATCAATTACCCAGGTTTTAACATGTCCACTCCAAGTGGAGTAACAGATGTAAGTACCTGTTTCTTTACTCACTGTCATCCCGCCCTTCCATGGAGGAGCTGTAGGGTATCCTCCTTGTACCCGTCTATCTGGCAACACTCTTGAAGCCTGTTTTAAAGGGCTGCCTGTAGTTATACGAATCAGGTCAGGCCTTGAGGTCATCCCGAAGATTCTGCTGTCTCGCTCGTGATTAACCAGGACCAGGGTGGCAAGGATCATGCACACAGCCTTTTTGGAGATGGCTTCTCCAATTTAAAATGCCTTCCCCAGGTTAGTGGGCCCGGCCCCCTCATCAGCATTCTTAAAACAGTCTTCTCCAATCTGTTGTGCTCCAGATGTGTTGGAACTAGGAAGCCCATTATCCCCAGCCAAGGAAGGCCATTTTTTTTTCTTTTTAATTATATTCTGCCTGTCAATGAATATTATAATAGCGGCTTGATGTTTAATGCTGACTGTTTTTAAGTTGTTTCCGTTTTTAATATTTGGCTTGTTACAGCTCTTAATTGTCTTAAATGCCCTTGTGAAGGATTGCCGGAAAGGCAAGCCATACATTTATCACAGCAATACATTTGATCAGAGTTCATTCTTTCTGGCCTCTGTTCCTTTTGTTAAATACACACAGCAAAGCTCTGCTGTGCATACATATGTCTTGGACGTTTATTAATTCTTTGATTTCCTAATAGCTTCATAGTTGGTTTTTGTTTCTGTTTTTTTGACACAGGAATGGAGGATGTTTGGCTCGGTGCCTCTTCAGCCATCCCAACAAAAGGATATTTTTGCTCATTATCTTTCCACTTACCATTCGGTGAATATTTTTAAGCACGCTGGTATACTTCCCCTTAACAAAAACGTTTTGTTTTCCTCTGGCGTTCTTCATTTCTTTCATTTGTTTCTCATCCTTCCTCAGGCAAGTCCAAAATCCAGGCATAAAAGACCTTCTCATCAGAGCTCTCATCATTCAAAAAGGCAGAAAGGAAACAGTGCCGAAGTGCTGTCAGCCGACATGGAGATAGATTCGGGTATAACTTTCATTTTAAAAATCCATCACCCGTGCAGTATTTTACAGATTCCTCCCAGGTTTGGTCTTTCCTTCAGTTCCACTAACTCCCAGTGGAAACCACCGCACTTTCTTTGAAGAGCCCCCAATTTAGGTAAGAACGCGGGCAGGAGAGTGATTAAAGAAGGTGCTGTTTTCCTCATTTCAGATTTAGACATGCCACATAGCTCTCCAGGCTATGATGGCTTCCAGTTCCAACCTCCATTACCTCCGGGGTCACCGCTGAATGCCACTCCTCCCCCCTTGCCACAAGGTACCCCTCCAAGCACTCCCCCCAGCTTTACTCCTCCTCAACCGCTGTCTTGTATGCCAGCAGCACTTCCTCGCGACACCCCGCCTTTGACGCCTTCCAGGGATCCTTCTGCACTGAGGCCAGAGGACTCTGCCATGGACGAAGACACACTGACTCTGGAGGAGCTGGAGGAGCAGCAGCGCCTGATTTGGGCGGCCCTGGAGCAGGCGGAGAGCACCCACAGTGACTCTGACATACCCGCGGGGACTCCTCTAGCCGGGAATTCTGTAACTTCATCCCCCGCCAGGACTGAGCCCTCTGTTCCTCTGGAGGAAGCAGCCCCCAAGAACTTGGACGTCTCCGAACCTGAACTTTACGACCACCCTGAGCAGATACCCAGAGCCGAAGAGCCTGATCATACACCGACTTCGCCCATCGAACTGGTGGATTTAACAGTTGAGGAGCAGCACGATCCCGTGGACTCTGAGGGCAAAGCCCAGACCCCCTCCTCGGCCCCAGCAGGCGGCGTGAACCATAGCGACGCTCTTGCAGTCCCCAGCGCCAGGCTGCCCTCCAAGACCGCCAGCCCTGTTCCCGACATGAGCAAGTTTGCTGCTGGGATAACCCCTTTTGAATTCGACAACATGACTGAGTCCACGGGGACTTACCTCAGAATAAGGAGGGTGCTGAAAAACTCCCCACGGAACCAGCAGAAGAATAAGAAGGCGCCCCTTTAGCGGCCCTGCTGGCACCACAGAAAAAACAGCGGGATTTGGAGGCGCTCCTGTTAAAAGCACCAAGTCAAGGGCAGAAGATGGAAAGCGGTCGTTGGTTCTTCCTCAGATGAAGTACTTTTGTTCTTCAGAAAAAGCCTGGTAAACGGGGCTTCCGTTTTGACTTAGGACCAGGGGTTGCCTAAGGGCTAATATGTCCACGAATACAAGTGCAAACGTGATCCAGTCCTGCATTACAGAGGCCTCTGAAAATCTTTTCCAACGGTGGGTCAAACCTGTTTTTGGCTCTCTACAAGTGGAGGTTTTTGTCTCCGCAGCGACCTGCGCTTTCCAGACTGAGCTGATCATTCTTCAGATACATTTACCGCCCGTGACTTTTAAAAGGACTTCAGTTTTTTAAAATGCTTCCCCACGATTCTGAGGAGGACCAGGAATTGTGGCAATCCAATGGGAATAATCAGGGATGATTTCACCATTCTTTCCATCTTTTTTGAAAAGTTTTATAACTAATTTAGGTGATTTAATTTTTTAATGCCACTTCTGCTTTTTTTTTTTTGTAACATCGTCATATTTGAACTTGCTGTACATATATTTGTGCTTGTGTACAGGAGTTTAATAAAAAGATTTTTTTCATAACTTTTTTGTATGTATGTCAGCAAGCCTCAAGGTAAGCTATAGAAAACCTACTACTGGAAAAACCAAGCTTGACACTTTTACTATGGGTGAATATTGCATTTTTATTATTATTTTTTTTTGTTTTGCTCCATACCTTTTTAAGGGAGCTATTGCAAAGGAAATTTTGCAACAGAAAATACTGGTGGGTATCCATAAATAACACTCCTGAGTTTAATGCTGCATGCATATCTGAGACGGGAATCAGCTGCTTATTTAGAGCATTGGCTCCCAATGTTTTTTCATCACAGAACTCCTGCAGCATCTGTCTTCTCTCCATTCTCCCAAGTCTCTCGTGTTTAGATCCAGTCAAAGGCATGCATCATTTTTTCCCCCTCAGGAGTAGGCTCGGGTGACCCTGTCTGTTCTTGATGCAGATGGGTGGCCATGTATGATTTCTGCTGATGATCTCCTGTCCTCGAAGACCAGATAGCCCAGAACATGCTGTATGGTTTGAAAAATAAGTTAATATCCTTACTTTCCAATAATGAATGTCATGATCTACAAACCCATGTCAGGGGTGTGTGTGTGTGTATTAGAATGTGTGGTTTTAAGGGTGGAGTTATATGAAAACACCTCTGCCTAAAGGGCTGGCTGGCTTTAATGACAGAAGTTCTTAATCGAATGGATCAGTCTGGGCTTTGTTTAAACTCGCCCAGCTTGTGACCGGTTTGCCTGAACAGGAGAAAGCACATACTGTTAACACTTCAGTTTGTTGTCTCTAGTTTATTTTATTTTCTAGGCTTCAGTCTAAACCAGGGTTTCTCAGCTTTGGCTGCTTGAAGATGGGTGGACTTCAACTCCCAGAACTCCCCAGCCAGCATGGCTGGCTGGAGAATTCTGGGAGTTGAAGTCCACCCATCTTCAAGCGGCCAAGGCTGAGAAACCCTGGTCTAAACCATGAATGCGCTGTCTCCTCCTCCTATGGATTCTCCAAAGCAAATATCCGCATGCTTTAGTTATTCAATATATAACACGCCTTTCCATCAATAGAAGGTGAAAGTGGCTGGCGGGGCAGACCCAGCCACACGTGGCAGCTTCAGAGCCCTTCAAGAAACAGACTGGCCACCTTTAAAGCAGGCGGTGAATGTTCACAGCTGCGCCAGCGGGAGAACAGCCCCACACAAGCTGACGCAGGCAACGTCCCCTGGGACCCCTGGCATGATGGCCTTAGCCCCTGTTCTTCGGTGGGGGTCATTTGGCACTTCCCCGCCTTTTGAACCCATCCTCTGGCTTTGCGCCCTTTCATGCCCTGTGCTCCAAACCGTGCTCCGGGGCCAGGGCATCCAAGAAAACTTCAAAAATTCCCGGCCAGGCATGTCACCCAGCACATATTTCCCGCTTCAGGGGATGGCACTGGGCGTGTTCGCGCGTCTAGGCGAGAGGGCTGCGGAAAGCGATGCCCGGCTTTCTCACGCCTCTCCGGCAGCCCGCCCGTGCCAGGCAGCTCGATCTCCACCGGGCGTGACCGGGCGAGCCCTCTGCGCGCGTTCCGGAGGGTTCGGGCCGCAAGTGGCAAAGGCTCCAAGGCGGCTGAGGCTCGCCCT